GCTTTTCTTACCACAAGTATATTCAAATGATTAGAGAGTAATAGAAATTGAATAAAAAATGGCACTGAACTTTGTCTGAAGGAATACAGTTTAGTCCAGTGCAGAATCTTGTGACAGAGGAAACCCCATTTCTTTAATGAATTTGTTTTTTGTGTTTGTGTTATTTTGCAGGCTCTCTAAAGTAAGAAGCCCATAGCAGAGGCCTTTCTTCCCTGGCTCTACAGTTAATAAATAAATGTATGAATAAATAAGAGAAGGCAGATGTTTCTTTTGCCATACTGCAAATTGTTGAGCCCTGTCACCAGTCCCAGGGAAATGTTAGGCCTTCCTAGTCCTGGCAAAGCCACAGGAATATTGGTACAAATGGATTCTAATGCCACTAAAGAAAGTCCTCTGTGTGGGGATGTGTTACCTGGAGGTAAAAGTAATATCTTCTTTGGTCAGATAAAGGATGTAAAATATGGGTTTCATTTTCTAAAAATCAAACAAATATTTTCTCACTTTAGCATTATTTAAGGAGCTCCATGCTGTCTCTCCTCCACCCAAGGAGTACTACTCTGCAATAGTACTGCTCTTCAGAGCAGGCTAGAAAGAAATCCATTTGCTACTGTTGTCAGAATTTTCTACTGAAAGGTAAAGCACAGTGATTTATAGCATTGGAAACTAGAGTTAGACTGCTTCAGTTTACCAACATGGCTGAAGACAGGAACATTTCTGGCTAGTATAATTCATATATAGGTAACCAGGCACCAACATATTGAGGAAATGCTACTTTCCTACTTACCACTGGTATGATCTTAACCTCTCTGTCTTTAAAAAATAATACTAATTTAAAAAATAATAATAATGGAATAATAGTACATATATCATATGGCTATGATGAATACTACATGAGTATTAATGTGTAAAATGCTTAGAATAGAACCTAATAAATAGTTAAGCACTTAATAAATGTTGGTTGCTGTTATGTCATTATTATTATTGTTATTATTATTATTATTATTATTATCATCATCATCATGTAGCCTGGTCTTGGGTATTAGAGAATTGCAGAATATTGAGTAGAAACTTAGGGTTCAGCCATAACTGCAAGCCTTAGCTGGGGACGGGAGGATAGATCAAGGTTGGGGCTTTTGGCAACTGACCCTAATATTATCATAAGGCTTTCCAAAGTGGGAGCCGGTACTTGTTGAGAGCTGCTAGATTTCTGAGGTGTTCTAGTTATCTTTAGGACCTGCTACTGAATTGGGGATTCTGAAAAAAGAGGGTGCTGAGAGGGCTGAATAATTGGACTAATACATGGAGAGGAAAAGTGAGGGCCTGTAGCTACTAGGTGGGTGAGTTTGCTTGGGTAATTAGAACAGTGGCTTTCAGACTTTTTAGACTTGACCTCAATAACAAATAGAGTTTACATTATGACCCATCATATATGTTTGCGTTTGTGTATTTGTATGTATTTCAGTAATGGATGTCATAAACACACATTTCACAACGGTGCTTACCCTACGGTATGCGAAGGACTCTGATATTTTCTTTTCTATTCTATTTCATTTGTATATGTACTTTTTGTGTGCAGGTAGTTTCCCTTTTTAGAAAATGTTGATCCTGACTTCCTAAATTGACATAATGTCTTACTAAAGAGGCGTGACCCGCATTTGAAAAAGCACTGGTTTGCCTATGAATTAGTCCTTTGAACATTACCCTAGAAAAAAACAGTTTGACACACTTTGTCATCTAGGTGAATGAGAGAAGCCCATCAGAGTTGGCAGAGCCTCTGAAGCTGGGGACAAGACTTGCTTCTCTTTGGCTCTCTTAGCTGCCAGGGTTTAGCTCCACAGTTTACTTGATCACTTGGTTTTCTTGAGTCTAGGTTCTTTTTCTCAGATGACTTCCTATTTGTTGAGACTGATCTCTTCCTTTAGACTGGGAGATTGCTCCAAGAGGGCAAGAATTACAGTAATAGCTAACACTTCTATAGTGCTTTCTCTGTGCTAGGCACTTTGCTGTTTACGTATATTAATCCTCACCGGAGCCTATATATTAGGTACCTTAATGATCTTCATTTTACAGGTGGGGAAACCAAAGCATACAGAAATATGCTTAGCTTACCCTTCAATAGAGGTCTTCTGCAACTTACCTTAAATATTAATGGATGAAATTAAGTTAGTTTCTGGGCTTATTAACTTTCCTTATGGCTTTTCTTACCATAAGTATATTCAAATGATTAGAGAGTAATAGAAATTGAATAAAAAATGGCACTGAACTTTGTCTGAAGGAATACAGTTTAGTTAAATTGGTCAAATTCAGCATTTGAATAATGACTGCTTTGAGCCCAAACATTAAAGCCCTGTAGTCTTCCTTCAGGCTTGGGTTTGAGAATGAATAATGTTGCAGAAACACCCACATAGTCTTAGCTCATTATTTTACCAGTTTGAGATCCTTGATCTTTCTTCCAGTCCCTTGCCCACTGCAACAGCTGTTTAGCTTGGCCCATGCCTTCTGGGTTAATAGTATTTCTGACACAGTGTGAGTTTTCAAGTTGCTATGTATAATTTCTGCCAGAGTCTTGACTGCTGCCAGGCGTCAGGGTTGGAGGTTGCAACTGATTTGTGGGGGAGGGTGCTTGTCACTGACGCAGGAACAAGGTGCTTTCTGTAGCTCTGATTTGTTGCTGGCTGAGTGTGAATGATGTCAGGCAGATCAGAGGACAGCTGATTCATTTGGGATCTGGAACTTGCCACTGTCCCACCGCTGCCTCCTGGGCTCTTAGGTCTTTTGTGAGGGGAGGGGAGGGGTGTTCTGAAGATCATGTTTTTGGAGAAAAGTACTTTAATTTTTGCCGTAAGTTTGGGAAGCTTTTATAATTTCCTTTGGCTGACAGAACTGCATACCCCTTGTGTGAGAGAACTTCCTACCAAGACTCCAGTGTGAGGGCAAAACTTGAGTAGCCAGGAGAATGATGAAACGGAGGCGAGAGAGACTGGGAGCACCATGTCTGCGGATTCAGTAAGGAGGCTGGGGTCTCTATGGAAACTGGCAGATGTCAGGGAAAAAAACTAATGCCAACTAACATAGCTTCGTTTATTTGGATGAAGACTGTTTTGGAGATGCCTGTCAGGAAGAGGGCTGAGCTGGCTTGATTAATTCAAGGTCAAAACAGTGGTCCTTGGCAGGGGCATATGAGGTTTCCAATTCCAGAAACTGAGTTAGATGTCATTTTAGGGGTTCCTGAATACTTGGGGAACTGAGTAAAAAAATGAAGACAATTATTTTCTTGCCTTGAAAGCAAATGTTTATTTAAAGTTAGTGTCGAAGCTGCAAATACAAGCCCCATGAATGTGAGAAACCAATGGAAACAAAAAGTACCTCCTCCTTTGACTAGAGAGGGTATTTCTGCCCATGGCCTGTCAGCTCAGGACCTCAGATCTGCCCTTGCAGATTCAAGCATGGGTCCTTTAGGGTGTTACCTGAATTTTATTTCTATATTGGCCAATATAGAAATAAACTTTATTAGGTGAGAATATCAAAGCTGGGAGTGGAAGAAGACTTCCTCTTCAGGGTGACTTTTCCAAGAGCACCTCAGGCTTATTTAATGAAGAAGTGCCAAGTGAATTCATCAGTAAATTAGAGAACCAGTGAAAGAAGAGACCTAGAATCCATTTCACCTCAATTATCTGTCTTGAACTGCCTTTGTTTAACTAATAGGGTGAAGGGAGTGTACTTCAGATTTTCTTCCTGAGTCAAACTGCTTGCCCCAAGACAGACAGGCTTCTTTAGTGGGCTTCTTTTGTGATGTTGCTCTTCAGTGTCCATGGATGCTTATTGATTGAATTAATGATTCTATTAGACCTTGAGAAACAGGATGTCTCTGAAGTGTATAGTTGGAGTATTGACACACTTCAAAAAAAAAAAACCTTTTATTCCCATAGTGACACAAAAGTAAAAGACCATTTAAAAACAGACTTCATCAACTAATGTGTTATTTAAAGTAAAGGTCACTTGTTAACAAAATTAAAAAATTTTAAATGGAGTTTGTAGTTTAAGAAAACTTAAATGGTCAAAAATCATGGTTCTGTTTTTGCTTTTGAGAGTGTCTTACTTTATGGCCCTGGCGGGAGTGCAGTGGTGCTGTCATAGCTCACTAAACCTTGACCTCCTGGGCCCAAGGGATCCTTCCACCTCAGCAGCTGGGACTACAGGCATGCACCACCAAGCCTGGCTAATTTTTAAATTTTTTTTATAGAAATAAGGTCTCTCTATGTTGCTCAGGCTAGTCTGGAACTCCTGAGCTCAAGTGATCCTCTTGCCTCAGCCTCTTAAAAGTGCTGAGATTACCATACCTGGCAAATTATGCTTTTCAAATGTTGGTACACTGCTGTTGGTAATCATTGAATCTGTTTTATTGACTTTGAGTTAGAAAAATACCCCCTGAGGAGCTAATAAGTAGTTTGTATATCACCTTTTCCTTTTTCAAACAATCTTTTTTAGACTCTAGACACATTGTATAACCAGTTTGCAGGGTAGTAATTAGGGGCAAAAAGAAAATAAAATTTGCCGGCCTGGCGTGGTGGATCATGCCTGTAATCCCAGCACTTTGGGAGGCCGAGACGGGCGGATCACGAGGTCAGGAGATCGAGACCATCCTGGCTAACACGGTGAAACCCTGTCTGTACTAAAAATACAAAATATTAGCTGGGCGTGGTGGCGGGCGCCTGTAGTCCCAGCTACTCAGGAGGCTGAGGCAGGAGAATGACATGAACCCAGGAGGAGGAGCTTGCACTGAGCCAAGATCACGCCACTGTACTCCCGCCTGGGCAACAGAGTGAGACTCTGTCTCAAAAAAAAAGAAAATGAAATTTGGCTTTCATAGATTTTTATAATTTCAATTACATATTGAACAAAATGGCTAAACTTCATTTTATGTGATAAGACTTAAGGCTTCAAAATTTTATATAAGCATATTATTCAGGTTAACAAGTAAGTACTGTCTAATGTTCTAATTGGTTCTAACTTATATATGAAGGAGCTTAACTTTGAAATAGTTCTTTGGAAGAGTGAAAATTCTTTTTGAAAAGGAGAAATTAACTTAAAATTAACATTTTTACTTCTTTTAACTTTAAAAAAAATGTTGAGTTTGTAGAAATATGGGCATAACTGTAATTTTAAATAGCTGTTTGCCCTCCTATATTCTATCCTGTTATGACCCCATATTGTGTATCCACCTGAGAAGTAAATTGAAGACCACTAGAGTGATAATGACTAGGAAAGTGAAGATTTCCTTTGAATGTCACTGTATCCATATTATAAACAGTCAGAAATAACAGTACAAGAAACTAATAATGTTATCATTTTGAAGTAGATCAGGTACTTATGTGATACTTAAGTAATTTTTTTACCTTGGAAATTAAATATGGTGTGTTTATAGAAAGCCATGCCAATAAGGTAGCAAATTAAATATTATGAATATTATTTTTGTTATTTTTATCATGGGTAATTTCTACTAATGGTAGCAAATTAGAAATCTGTATTTATCACCTGTTTTCAATCTAATGATCTTATTTAATAATCTTCAATAGGACTTAACATGTCAAAATGGCTAGATTGTTTTTATGGGAAAAAATAACCTGGGAATCTAAAATTTAAGTGGAAGCAAAATACATAGTTAACTGACATTATCTGATACATTCATTAGAGAAAAGTTAGCTAAACAAATTAGTATTATTGTAGATATAATCAATAATTTATAAACTATTCAGAATGTTTTGCTCTTGGGGACATACACATTTTTCTAGGAAGTTTTAGTCATTGAACATTAAATATTAACTGTTGCCTGCTAATTGATGAGTTGTAGTAAATTTGCAATGTTTGGTTTGCCCAGAAACCAATTCTAAATTGGCTGGGCGTGGTGGCTTACATCTGTAATCCCAGCACCTTTGGGAGGCTTAGGTGGGTGGATCACTCGAGGTCAGGAGTTTTGAGACCAGACTGACCAACATGATGAAACTCTGTTTGTACTAAAAATACAAAATCAGCTGGGTGTGGTGGTGCATGTCTGTAATCCCAGCTACTTGGGAGGCTGAGGCAGGAGAATCACTTGAACCCAGGAGGTGGAGATTGCAGTGAGCCAAGATTGTGCCATTGCACTCCAGCCTGGGCAACAAGAGCAAAATTCCGTCTCAAAAAATAAAAATAAAAATAAATAAATAACAAATATGTTGAGTAGCCAAATCTTAAATGTTGTATTTTAATTTTATGGATTAAGTTTTTGTCTCTGTTGTCATCCTGTACCAACATTGGTACTAAAGTATGATATTGGAGAATGATTTTTGACCACTTACTTTTCTTGAACTTTTTGCCTAAACCAAGCCACTTTGAATATGTTTCTTTTTGGTTGAAAAGTTAATCACTGACCTTGTTTTTTTCATGTTGTGGTACCTTGTCAGAATCTCTACCCTTTGCCGAGGAGCTGAAGTAAACCAGCACATGTTTTCACCCACATCTGCTCCAGCCCTCTTCCTCACTAAAGTCCCATTTAGTGCTGATTGTGCTTTGGCTACTTCTCCTCTTGCCTTTTTCCTGAACCCACGAGCCCACAGCAGTCCTGGCACTCCTTGCTCCAGCCGCCCACTGCCGTGGAGGTAAGGAAACTTGCTGTGAATCTGGGCCTTGACAATTGCTTCTGGGCAAATGGTAAAACCCATACCTTAATCCTTAATGGGGAGAAATGGAGTAAGAGTCTTGGTTCTGTCACAGAGAAGAGTGAAATAAATATCACAGATTTCTGTTGTATTGAAAATGTCAGGAGAAAGGAGGTTAGGTTATCAGTACTTGGATTTTTGAAGCTGTTATAAATTGTGTGCCCATCCTGACCATTGGACAACCTTGTGAACTATGACCTGTGACCACCCCATAATGGCGTGGCAGAGTGCTAGAACTCTTTGGAGGTTCAAAAGTTCAAACCTCACATTTTACACGACGGGAAAATTTGTGTCCACAAGTTAAATGGTTTGTTCAGGTTGAGGAAAATAGACCTTCTCCCCTTTTTTTCTGCGTTCCTTTTCTTATATTCAACATTATTTGATTATGTGCTATCTGCTAGGACACTGTTTTAGGCATGGGAAATAAAGCAGTGAACATAAAGCAATAAAATCCCTGTCCTCAGGGAGCTTAGATTCTAGTGGAGAAAGACAAGTTAATGAGTAAATATATAACATAATGGATAGACATGGTGCTTCTGAGAAAAATAAAGTAGGATAAGAGAATATAGAGGCCAGGGCTTGACATTTTATGTAAGGTGGTCAGGGAGGTCCTCAGTGATAAGTTGACATATGAGAAAAGACCTGAAGGAAGTGATGGAGCCTGAATGGAGATATCTGGAAGAAAAGTGTTCCAGGCAGAGGCAACATGAAGTGCCAGGGGCCTAATCTAGGAGCTTGCTCCATGTATTCTTTGTGCAACAGAGTCCAGTGATGCTGGTACAGAATAAGTTGGGTGGTGAGTGTTGGGAAGTGAGGCCTGAAGTATAGTGGGCAGCCAGATTAAACAATTTTGAGGCTTTTTAAGATGGAGTTTCGCTCTTGTTGCCCAGGCTGGAGTGCAATGGCACGATCTCGGTTCACTGCAAACTCTACCTCCCAGATTTAAGTGATTCTTCTGCCTCAGCCTCTGGAGTAGCTGGGATTACAGGTGGCTGCCCCCACGCCCAGCTAATGTTTGTATTTTTAGTAGACACAGGTTTCACCACGTTGACCAGGCTGGTCTCAAACTCCTGACCTCAAGTGATCCACCCACCTCGGCCTCCCAGAGCGCTGGGATTACAGGTGGAAGCCACCAGGACTTTTGTTTTTATGCTGGGTGAGATGAGTAGCCACTGGAAGGTTTAAATAAGAATGTCATGATCTGACGTAGATCAAAAGATCACTCTAGGCTGGGTGCAGTGGCTTATACCTGTAATCCCAGCAGTTTGGAAAGCCGAGGCAGACGGATTGCTTGAGTTCAGGACCACTCACGAGTTCGAGGCCAGCCTGGGCAACATGATGAAACCCTGTCTCTACAAGAAATGCAAAAATTAGCTGGGCATGGTGACGCATGCCTGTAGTCCCCGCTACTCGGGCGGCTGAGGTGGGAGGATGTCTTGAGCCTGGGAGGTGGAGGTTGCAGTAAGCTGAGATCACACCACTGCACTGCAGCCTTGGAGCAAGACCTTGTCAAAAAACCAAAAACAAACAAAAAAGCAAACAAAAAAACCTACTCTGGTTATAGTTAGAAGGCCACCAGGTAAGAGACAATGGTTATTTGAACCCATGGTGATTGAGATGATAAGAAGTGGTCAGATTTGGGGATGTATTTTAAAGGTGGAATTGACAGAGGAGGAAGAGATATCCAAGGATTGAGCTCTGGGGCAAGTTTTAGAGGTTGGGGCGATAGTGAGGAATTAGACTAAAATGAACTAGCTATTCATTCAGGAGCAAGGACCAGGAGAAGTATCTTAGAAGCCAATTGAAAAAAAAAAATGTTAAAAAAGGAAAGTGTGACTGATCAGTAGGTATTTGTTAAGCTTCTTGTTAGAGAATAGTAACCTGAAAAACTAAAAGTTTAAGTGAAGCACGATGTATCATGCAGACTTAAGTGACATTATTTGATACAGGAGCTTAAATTCCACAGGCAGTTTGGGACAGTGATAGACTGCCATAGGACAATGTTAGAGGCTAACTTCTCTCAGAAGGCACCTCTTCTAGACGTACTAGCGCTTGGCGTATGAGGCTGAGAAAGATTTTAAGTTGGGTAGCCCCCAAGACGTACCCAGTCTTGGCACATGGTTTTGAATATCTCTTGATGACTGTGGTCTCAGAACACACAACCTGGAGCAATACCGGTCTTACAGCTTTGGAGCTTGTTAAATTTCATGGAAACTTGTTAAATTTCATGGTTTTTGTTTTTGTTTTTCCGTAGACTTGCTCACATGTTTGGTCACTGTATTAGTGCTTCATTCCATTTTTCTTTTGTATCCATGCCATGCAAAGTGCCAGTTCATTGATATGAGAAGATTATTTTAGCTTGTTTGCTGGATATTTTTATATTCCTTTAAACATTCTTGAGACTCTGGGATGCAGTTATTTAGAAATTGTTTGATCCTTTGGAGGATTACTTTAGGCTTTGTTTGGTGAGACCAGGGCAGCACATGAGGCTAATTTTTTCTTACTACTAGGGCAATACTTTGAGTACTCTATTTGATGCCCATGTATTGTGAGTTTTTTCCACTCAGGCTGATGGGAACATGAACAATTCTGCGTCCTTTGTGAGCTCTGAAGAGGGTACCTAGTCATTTTCTTGGATCGTTTCCTTACCCACATATGCTGATAGATATTCAGCTAAAAACTCAGAGGAAGCCCCTGCAGATCTCCAGAGTTCCCCTCTGTATATCTCTGTCTACTCTGGTACCCTGCCTTGAAAATTCTAGCCATCTTAGCCTCCCCAAGTTCTCAACTCTGTCTTCTCAACTCAGGGAGACTGCTGGACTCTTTTTGAGTACCCCCTTTGCTGCCTCCTAGACGTGTTCTTCAGGTCGTAAGCTAGGGCAGTCTTAGGGCTTACTTTGCATGTTTCCCTTTGGTCCAGTGTCTACAAACTATTGTTTCATATATTTCATCTAATTTTTTTTGTTTTTAAGGTGCAAGGGTAAATCTGATCTCTGATTCCCCATAATGACGAGAAGCAGAAGTCTAGTCTTGCTAATATTTTGAGCTCATGCTTCTATCATCAGTTGTGATTATTGCTTTATAAGATTATTGGTTGACTGATTCACATGTTGCATAAGCCCAACAGAAGCAGATTCTTTAAAAATTATTCTATCTTCCTTAGTCAAGAAAAGTTGGAAAATGAAATATCAAAAGAGTAAGAATAGGTAACATTTGCTGAGCATTTACTATATCTTAACATTTTTTAAATGATTTACATTTGTTAAATTTGATTCTCAAAATACTCTGATGAGGTGGGTGACACATATTCATTTTTTTTCGATGAGGTGGATAATCTGAGTAAATCTGTTTTATAGATGAAGACACTGTAGTACAGAGAAGTTAAGGAAGTTATTAATAAGCAGTAGAAACTACCATTCATGAAACCCCACAGTATCTTACTCCAATGTCTGTGGTCTTAACCCCTTGGCTGTTGTTACAGGATCCTGGGAGGTGTTGCTTTCCTAGCTAGAAACCTCTGTGACCAGTGGCGCCTTTGCGTGAGCTTTGCTTGGGCCTGCTGGGCCCACTTGGCCTGGCAGGCTACACTTGGCTCAAGCTACCAGCCTGGATCCCTTACCTCCAAAGAGACTGGAGCAGAGTGGTGAGGGGTGTGTGAGCAAGCGAGCATACGGTCCGGCCACTGCACACCGTCAGGCATGCCAGCTGCTGCAGCAGGGCGGCCAACACGCTCACTGTGAGGCTGCATCAGGACCAGGCGCACCACAAGCAGCTTCCACAGCTGGCACAAGGGAATGCAGTGGTACCCAGAAGCTTGGAGACTCTGGGAGCCATCAGGCCCCAAAGTGGGAGTCACAGCTCAGGCTTGGGGAGCTCTCAGGTCTAGTCTCTCTGAAGGGCCGCAGCTCTTCTCTCCTTCTCTCAAGTTTTCCCCTTCTCTCTTCTCTCCTTGTCACCCACAATGTGGTGAGCAAGGGGCATATTTCAGCTCTATTTGTATTACAGCTGTTTTGGCCCTGCCATTCGGCGAGTCCTGAGTTCTTGTCCTGCATCCAGAAGGAATGAGGTACACAGACAAGTATAGGATGAGCAAGACAAAGGGGAACTCTGTTGAGTGATATAATAGCTTAGAGGGGACCCACAGTGGGTAGCTCCTATCTGTAGGCAGGTCCTCCCATTGAGTGTTCAGCTCTCAGCAGAGAGGAGGTCCTGGAATGGGTGGTTCCTTTCTGCAGGCAAGTGGTCCCATTATCTCCCTGTGATCCCTCCTCCCAGGTCTGGCTGAGTCTAGGGGTTTTTATGGGCCTCATAGGGGAGGAAGTGCATGCTGGTTGGTCCATGGGCAGCCATGGGTGGGCCCAGGGAAAAGCACCACAAGTTGCCCTTGCAGTTTCCAGGACTGGCGACCCAGCCCCCAGGCTTCAGGCTTTCCCTGGCTTGAAGGTGGGTCTTCACTGTGGACCAGCTTCCTTCTGCCCAGGAGCCTGTCTGCCTCCTGCTGCTGTTCATGGTGCCCAGGCTATTCATGCTAAGGAGTGCCCTCAGGCCAGCACTAGACTGTCCTCAGCATACCCCTCAGCCTCCTTCCCATGCTTGTCAGTGCCCAAAGTCTGGAGGGGGCCAAAGTGGCAAGGGGGTTGGCATGTCAGCACTGCCCTGAGCATGTGCACAACCAGCTGGACTGTGACAGCTCCCGGGCTGGTCCCCAACTTTGCTCTGAAATTGGAGTAGGCACCGACAGGGGAGAAGCCAGGTAGCGAGAGTAGACAATTCTGAGCCTGCGAGGGGCAGGGGCCTTCCTAGGCCCAAGAGTTCAGAGATGCCTGGGTCCGAAGCTGCAGCAGAGCAGCAGCGGCTGCACCCAGGGAGTTCCCACCCAGGGGGCTCCCACCCCACCAACTCGGAAGGGGTGGGGCTCCCGCTTTTCCCTGTCTCCCACC